AAATAAACTGAGGGTGCTAGTTTGAAGCTTGGGGGTGCTAAGCACCCCCAAGCACCCCCCTATGTGCGCCTATGGGCCTGAACCACAACATTCCAAAGTCCAAACGCTTGGGAGGATGCACTCACCAAGTGCAATAAAACTAATGTTATTAAATATCTAAAAGGTGTTAAACTATTAAAATAATATACATGCTTTAATTTAAAGTTTTAACTCTAATATTCTACTATTTTTATGTTTTATAAGTGCCACATAACATTTCGAAGTCTTCATTATCAACGTAATGTATATAATATGTTTTTTTATAAGTTAAGAAACTAGAGCCACAAGACCTACAAGAGTACAAGATACAAGTACACAACACTCTACATTGTATACAGGCCCGGCTCAAGGGGTAGGTGACATAGGCCCACGCAGCGCCGGCGCTAGGGGAGGACAAATGGGACATTTGTCCAGGGCCCCGCGCTTGTTAAAGGGCCCCGTGATTTTTAATTATCATCTTAATACGAATACCGTGGTCTACCGTCGTATATTGCATTATTCTGCCTGCAGCGGTCGCGTACTTAGATATTAAACAATGTATTATTTTATTCAAACATTTTGATGAATTAATTTATTTTTAATTGATGATTTTATGTAGTTGTTAAAATAAATGTAAATTAATAAAATAACCAGCCCTTATGAATTTATTAGCCTACGATTTTCCACTCAAAGGTTTAACTGAAATTCACGCTACGCCACTAATTCTGTGCTGAGCGAGGTTTCATCAGGAGGAATCGCACTCGAATGTGTTGTCTCCGTTTACACAAGTAGGTAAGGTAAAGTGTGGTAAGTGTGACGCAAAAATGAAAAGTTAATTTTGAATTTGACAATACTTTTTTTGTTTTTAACTTAAAGTTGTTATTGTTCCATAATGTAACACCTCTAGATATACATAATTGGAATTTATAGTCAACAAAGTTATATTATCACTCACCTCAGAATAATTTTTTTTTTTTTAATTTTAAAACGTCACACTTGCCCCTTTTCATGGGGCAAGTGCAAAATCGGATTGTTTTTGCTATTAGTATTACATAAAATTATATATGGGGCAAGTGAATAACAAAGATAAAAATAAGCTTTAATTTGATTTTTGTTTCATTAAAATATCTTGATTCATTAAGAATTGACAGAGCATTATTTAAATTTAATTATTTACCTATATTATATATAAAAACAGTACTTTTTTTAAAATCCTGATTTAAAAAAAAGCTAAAATTTCACTACTCTCTGAGAACCTAAAGGCTATTACCTATGACCAGGGCCCCGCAATACCTAGCGCCGGCACTGGGCCCACGCCTAGGGTGGCACATAAGCAGCACTTTAGTAAGGGGGCGGCATTTTAAAAATACTGATTATATTATATTATTAGGGGCGGCAAAATTTGATTTTGCCTAGTTCACTATTTTCGCTTGAGCCGGTCCTGATTGTATAGTAATGACTAATAACCAATGAATACAAATATACAATATACGAAATGTCATACCTACGGAATAAGAATTTTTGAGTTAATTAAAAATATGCAAAATGCAAATATGAAAAAAAAGGTATTTTATTACTTAAATCACTTATGTCATGCCTGTCGAACATGTGCAATAGCATTAAAACAAGCATTAAAAATAAAGCTGTGTGGGTCATAGGACCCCCGGCAGAAGCTATACTTCCAAAGAGAAAGAACATTTTTTTTTCGACTGTACATAATGTGTATTTATTTATAATAAAATATTATAACATTTTCACTAAAGGATGAGTTTGGGAATATTTTAATTAAAAAATTAATTTTTTTTTAGTTAAGTTGAACTATAATGGTCCTGTGATATTCTCATATTATTTGAACATCATACTATAATTATTTAAACTCTATATTATCAAATAAAAATGTATTAAAAAGTGTTTAACTCAAGAAACTTTTTATTCATATGTGCCCCATAGTAGCCAGTAGGGGTACCTTTGAATATATCTGACTATCTGAGGCAGTGTCGGCCTGGCCAGGGCCGCGGGGCCCTGAGCTTTTTTTTTTTTAGTTTATAATTAGTGGCCAGGACCACCACCCCAACGTAGAGTAGTCAACAAAGCGTCAAATATACGGTACAATTAAATGTACGACGATGAACGAGGGAGTGTCGATCACTAGGGCCCACAGGCTGCAGGGGCCCCAGCCGAAGTCTTAACTAAAAATATTGTTTTTCTATATTAGATTTGGATAACAATTTTTACAATCAATATGACCACCACAATTTTTATTCACAAAAATAATCGTAAAAAACTTTAATAGAGCCCTTCATTGAAAGTGACAATTGGCCTAGTTGCGCTACTGACGAAGTGTATAAACGGGGCCGGTTTAGAGAGAGCCCACGGGGCCCGGGGCCCCACAAGATTCAATTAATAAGAGGCCCCCACGAGATAATTACCTTTCAGCTTATGCAGTAAGTTATATGTCAACCTTATATGGCCAGATGATGGGCCCTAGGGCCACCACCATTCTAAATCCGGCCCTGTGTATAAGTTATAGAATTTGAGTGTAGTGTAGAATTACTACAAACACGTATCTACTATCTAGTACGATATAATAGAATCTATATTTCGTCATGGTGCATACGTGTGCGGTGTGCTGTTTACTCGTATAAGGTGTAGTACAAATGTAATGATAAACGAGATGATTTGAACGCACATAAGATTTTTTGTACAACAAAATTGTCGGGAAAATCGTAACGAGTACAAATACAATAAGTTAATAACGTCTATGTGTGGGGCCCCTGTATGGCCGTACAATAGATTTGATAAATTGTCTAATCAATTATTATCATTAGCGCTATATCGATATAAAGAAGTAAGAACAATTAAGTTAAGTAATTAAAGAACTTTCATTTCATTCAAACTCATTTCATAATTTATTTACAGTTTATAAATATGTATTTATTTTACCCTCTACTCAAGTGACTTGTGAAAGGGTGTTGTTTTCTAAACTGAAACTTGTGAAGTCTAAAATCAGATCAACAATAAGTCAACAACATTTAATGCTTATTGCAATTGAAAAAGATATCAAGATTCAGAAAACTCAAATTATTGATACTATAGCTACCTAACTACCCAAGTCATCTAAAATGTTACATGAATTGCTCATTTAGTATTTAAGTTTTTTATATTTAGCTATTACTTTCTTTAAAAATAATGTTGTGTCAACTTTTGTTCATTGATCGTCTTCTTTATTATATTTTGGATGATATCTTTTTCGTAATTTGAATTACATTTTGTTTAGTAACTTATTAAAATCATGTGTATCATTAAGCACGTCAGAAGTTAATACTTGGTTTTAGACTTTAGTAGAGAATTGTAAAAGTGGAAAAATTTTAATCGAGCGACTATTTGGTGAGTGGTGGGAGGGAGGTTAAAAGTCAGCGTTAATAATTGGCGTTTAACGGTCAGCATATCAAACGGTGCTGTTCAATATACAGGTTTCACTTTAATCACACAACTATAGTCATTTTTTATTTTTATTCATAAGAAAAAAACTGAATTCTGACATAATATATCATAAGTTAGTTTACAAAAAATAATTCATTTACACATTGGCTGATTGAGTGGGGGGGGGGGGGGGGGGGGGGGGGGGGGATATACAATAACTCTAGGAACGAAATTGTTCATATATAGTAAATGAAGAAAAAAAATCGAGGCCCCAGAGAAAAATTGCGGCCGAGGCCTTTTATATGCCAGGCCGACACTGATCTGAGGCATATTTGAATGAGTTTTTATACTAAAAAAATTAACACGCTTAAAAGTATAGGTACTTATGAATTATTTTAATAAACTCTCTCGGTATATAATAAACTTTGAGCATAATAATGTATAAATCATGTTCTAATAAAAAATACAATTATAACACAACAAATTCTTGCTCTAGTAAAAATAAAATATAAAACATAACAGTACTTCTGGTAATAGTAGGTAGTTACTTATCTACCTACTTGTAAATAATAAAAATAACAAAAAAAGTAGGTATTTAAATTAGTCCATAATCAGACTTTTAAATGTAACCAAGTAACCCCACTATGGAATATTCAATTGTACCACACAGCAGGTAGGTACTTGTTTTAATATATTATGTATCAATAACTGTACAGTGAAATACAACATAACTCAATAATATATCTCATTTGAAATAGGTAGTACAATATTTTAATTTAGTATATGCTGCTAAAGCTAAATACTTATTGAATGTTTTTATTTTTTTTAAATCTCTTCACAAATGTGAAATGGCTATTAAAATAATAAATAAAAGTTCAAAAACAGATTTTTATTTTTCGTTATAAATATTGACAGATGTAATAATAGATAGGTAGCTGATAAACATACCACATATTGGATACAGTCTGACGAAAAGTCTATCCGTCTGTATTTTACTTGAACCTAATTTCTCAATATATTATTATATTTATTGTTTGTGCCTTTGTTTGTGTTTTTTTTTAATTTAAATATTATATTTTAATCATATTCACCATCATAATCCCATAGTTATTATTAAGTATTAATGCAGATAAGATTTCTGGTGAACTTTATCTCTTCAAAACATTTTATCTAATATGCATTTACCAAACAAATTAAATACAAGACATGGGTAATTATTTGCAAGTAGGTACTCCACTTTTATTGTACACAATATTATTTTCAAGACAAGTGTTAAAAAATATTTATAACAATAATAATCCTTGATGGCTAATTAACAAACATTTGTAAGCCCTTACGGCTGTACCTAGACGTATTGGGGTTAGATTAAGAGACTACTGACGAGACGACGACTGAACTACATAGACAGCACTAACGGCTGCGCATTATCGTTATCCAACTGACCAATAAAACATCCAGCAGATAGTATATGCATAGGGGACACGAGTCATCTAACGTAAGCACACATTAGAAACGGAAGATTATAACTATAAGAATTTGAAAAAATAAATATTACAAATTCACAGGCAGAAACAAACTTGGCATCCGACGCATGTGACGCAGTTTCTTAGGAACTTTTTGGACCGTCTCCAAAGTGATTTATGTCCCCCAGACCGTCGAGGTCTGACGACTATTTCACTGAGGTTCTGTATTATAAATGACGGCCATGCTTTCGAAGATCCATACACCACCAATTGTTGATAAGTTGTTATGTTGTATGGCAAGTTCATATAATTTCGGGGTATTGATCGAAACGCCCAAGGTCCTTGCATCCGACATAATGAACGGCATTTTATCCCCATAAATGGCGAAACAGATAGGTCTAGAGTGTCCGTTACAGCACGGACATTAACTTCAAAAAATTCGAGTTTCCTCTTTCTGCAGTTGGCGTCCATTTACACAATTAATACGCACGATGTCCAATTTAGTATTCCATATCCAGAAGTATAATATATAATGCGTTCATGCGATATCAATACATACAATTTAAATAATACTGCACACAAGTATATTGTTTAAAGATTTACAATATTTTCTAAACGAGCAATATAACGACCATAGTTATAGAAAATATAGTATGGTATTTTACACAAATTACAGTTGAATAAATGTTCTACTTGTTTACAAAGGAATGCATTGACGAAAAAAAACTCATTTTACATTATACTATTGATTAATAACAATTGCGTTTTCTAATCTCCTATATTTTGAACAAGAAAATCATTTGAAATGTCCTTAATATATAAAATCATTACATTCAAAATGTTTATAATCAATACATTATTACTGTTTGTATAGATACTATTATTATCTTAATGGTTTACTTAATGGTATTTACATTTTGTTGTAAAAGAGCCCTTTTAAGTGATACAAATATTAAGTAAAAAATGTAGTACGAATATGGTATTTTAACAATGTTTATTGTTCGAATGTAAAAATTAGATGTTTTATAGTATTACTATTGTTTGTCCTTAAGCCGGAACATCGGTTTAATTTACAATCAAATATAAATAGGTACAATTAAAAAACAATTAAAAAACTCACATTAAATATTCGGCACTGCGTTTAACATAGGTAATATATAATATTATTTTTCAAACTAAATACACATATAAAATAAAGAAAAAAACATTTACTGATATTATATCAATGTATTAAAACAAACGTCTAGCCTCTATAATATAAAGTACCTATTGGTATACATATCGGTAGACGTGTTCTGGCTGCAGTAAGAGGCGAGACGTTGGAGTGCGGTCACGTTGGTTGAGATTAACAAAATATACGCAAAAATCACATGCAAGTCGAACGACTGATGTAGGTACAACCGAATTTCTGGACAGTATAATATTATTATATTAAGAATACGGAGCGATGTCGCACGCCGCTGTCGCTTGTATGCGTTGTCTATAATTATTTTGGACTGGTGTGGAAGTCTGAATCCTTAACATTAAAACTAACCTCGCGGCACGATCTTAGTGTGCAATAGATTCAAAAACATCCGACCGTATGCGACAACTGAGTAGGTATGTAAATGAACGTGTGCGGACGAGACGGTGCTTAACGTTTATCGCCGCTGGAGAAGGGGTGTGAGGCTGTTGGCTGTAGTTGTACACTTATACGCATAAACATACTAATATTATACACAATATACATTTTAGATTTAAATGGCTAATAATTGCCGTCCCAGGCCACTCTATTCTCCCGAGTCCCGAGCCCTGCTGCAAGATCGTATTTCTGTAGAATAGGAGAGGAGCGATTCGATCGTCGATTTTTTTGTACCACGTGATTGTTTATTTTTTTGTCGATAAACCTATTTTGCGATACACAAATAACTCACGCAGTTCAAATGACGAACGATCAATTTGAATTTACCATTTACCAGTATTATAATATTATAATAAAATAGTTTTAGATAAAATTATTAACAACAAATAGATATACACAAATCTATACACAAATGGATTTACATATGATTACCACCCTTACACAATTTGTTCCTTTACATGAGTACCTCGCACCTTTTCCAGGACGTTATGCGTTGAAATATATTTTTTCAAATATATTTGTGCGAAAGTAAAAATAATAACAATTCATCGGCTTATTTAAATTTTAAACTCGTTTTCTGATTTATATTGATTACCTACAGCAAGGGTTATTTACATGAAACCTTTTTCTGTCTCGTATATAATAACGATTATCACGAAACAAAATATAGTTAATTGACTAATAAGTAATAATAGTTTGAGAAAAGTTTTAAAATCGTACCATATTATATATTATTATACTGCAGTAAGTCTACAGATACGACGAAAATTCTGATTTAAAAAATCTCTCTAAAAACATATTTTAATGTATACATTAAAATATGTTTTTATTTTTACCAAATAAAGTATAAGTATACTCTTGTATCGGACAAATATTGTCGCTTATCTTTCGTCCATGCGCTTTATAGTGACAAGTGATAGCTATTCAAACGAATTTAATTTGGAAACATCAAATTGGCTTACGCTGACCGAGTGGTTCTCCAGTCTCAATTCCTGCACGGCTATATTAACAGCATATTATATTAGTTATACATTCACCGCTAAGAACGAGAAAAAATAAATAAGAATCGACGGGATTTGTTACAATAACGAGGGGTCTGCGTTTGGAGAAAAAAACCCTGGGGTAAAACAGCTATACGTGATGAAAAAAATACACACACGTACATAATATAACCACAGAATAACTCTCACACACAAATAGACCTGTACACCGTACGGTTCGTACCCACGTCTTGACTCCGAAGGGGGCGGTATTATTTTTCTCTTATTCTATCCCGCAGAAGAATCCCCGGGCCGCCTTTGTCACGTTCAATTCTACGAAATTACGCGGGTTTCTATTTCATTCCACGTAAAAAAAAACTTCTTAAACGCACGCAGAACCAAATTTTGTTTGCAAACGAGAAAAAACTCTCCAAGTTATTGTGTGGAATATCCCGTTAGGTTTTTCGTCTGAATTTTACGATTTCGCAATCATCGTTGAAATTATTTTAGTAAATAGGTAAGAAAAGGTAGTTAGACCGAATGTACGTTTATTAGTTATTTCATATCAAATGCACTATAACGTTGTTCAGAGTTTATTATTCTTATTTTATCATATTATAAAATTAGATTCTTGATTATAATAGATAATAATTATTATTTATCTATAATGGATAAATAGGTTACAGGGCTAGGCATGTGTAAACCTGGCATGCTAGTGAATAAAAACACACTTCAAAAATAAAAATAAATCAATAAATGCATTCGTAGAAATACGTTTTAAAATGTTATCTCTAAACATACTGGTAGTTATTAGCAAAATAATTTAAATTAATAATGATATACCAACTGTTTTGGAAATTAATAACATTTGTATTTTAAACATACCTTTGTGAAAACAATTCATTTAAAGCAGAAGTACTTATTATTTTTAATATACATCACATTATAATTTAAAATTGTTATATTATTCGAGTTTCATAATATATTCACAAAACAAACTTCATAATAATTTATAAAAATAAAGAAGTTGGTTTTATTATACATAAAATTAAATTAGAAAATCAAACAATTTCTAAGTCGAAATTATTATACCATTTATAGAAAGTTAACGAAATGCGTTATAAACCATAAAATGTTTAGTACATATATATTATGATTATATAAAATTATAAGACTTTATTATTATAAATATGTTGTTGATTATTGTGTCATCACTACAGCAGTATGTCATCATCTTAACAAAAATAAATCATGTACAATAATACTGTATGTGTATTCATATGTATGCACACAAATGTATACACAATAATACAATATATGTATAATAAAATCTCAAAACATTAACATTATAAGGTATTATAAAGCGGTTTAAAGACATAAAAAAATGTATATATTATATATACATATTATTCATTATTTTTGTATTAATATCAACTCATATAATAACTGGTTAATAGTTAATACGGGGGCACGTTACAAGGATTCGTCCTTATACCATTTGTTTAAAAGTATAAGATTTAATAAATAAAATATTCTAAAGTAAAATAATTATTTCCACTTTTCTTTCAAAAAAATGTATTCATTCCATATAGGTTGTTTATTATAATGCAACATACAATAATAATGTTATATGGTATTACGGTACTAATTACCTAAATTAGGTATGTATACATGGATTATAATTTATAACATATAATATTGTAATTTGTAATATTAATGAAAATGGACCCCCTTAGGGAATAGAGCCATTCTGTGTATGTATCTTATTTTTTGTATATATGTATTATAGGTACTTATATATAATGTATTTAGTGGATGCAGATTGTAAATATATTATTTTAGAGTAAAAAAAAATAATAATAATACGATTATTATTGTTAACAAGACGTTACTGCTAAAGTGATTATACTCATGTAAGTCATAACTGATAACATACAAACAGAAAAATTGTTACCTAAATTCAATTTTTTTTTTAATTTGGTGATTTAGCAAATTATGATTAAAATTACTATTTTACAATTTTCAACTGTCAAAAAATGATGTCTGATAATAACAAATATTACCTTTTGTAATAATTTAGTCATCGGAAATGTTTTTGAATTAAAACACCAACAATAAATTAGCTATGTAGAAACCCTATATACATAATATTCATTTTTTATCTCATAATGTCTAGTCCTTAGGATAATGTCTTATAAGACACAAGTTACAGTAATTGACAAATTTTAAAGATAGTTTAAAGAATTGAAATCTAATCATATTACATAATATTACCTATTTGAATTAACTTACCTAACCAATAGAAATCGCAAATGTCAAATGTCGATGATTTTTTTTTAACTAAAATATAAAGATGTTATTTAGATCACAATGCACCCTGATTTTAAAAACGTTAATTTTAGTATTCGTAATAAACGTCGAAAATCTAAATACATTTTTTTTTAAATTTTTTTTTACGGAGTTATTTAAATTTTATTAAAAAATGGAGTCTAATAATTTACCTGAATAAAGTTTTCCTCTTTCAAATAATATAAATAATTATTAATAATTATTATTATAATCCGACTATTTTTTAATGCGTGATCGTAAATTTTGTCAAGTCGTTTTTGACTGTTGAAATGGTTCGATTTTATTTTTCCATACGGTTTATTGCATAGCTGCGTAATTTAACTAGAAATTGTATTTAGACTTAAAGTTTATTCTGGCAATTTTTATTCGTTTAATTTGTAAAAATAATTTTGTATTGCACTACACACATTATGCTTCCACAGGTTTTCCACATTTATTTTTTAAAATTAAAGTTATGACATTCAATTTACATAACATTGAATTTGTATATTAATAATTAAATTTTATTATTATTAATTGTA